AATACTATGCAAGTGCTATATTAGTATATTATTATAGTGTTATATTTCAATTTCACAAAGAAATGTACAGTATTTTGTCTAAGCAATAATAAAAAGACATTTAATTTATAATTTGTCTTAAATCTCATTTTGTTAAAAAAAAATCGTGAATCGAATCGAATCGTGAAATCAAAATCGTGAATCAAATCGAATGTTGAGTGAATCGTTACATCCCTAGCGCTAAACAAAGCGAGTGAGTCATTTGAAGCAAATCCTATTGTTGACATCAAAATCCAGAGCTGCTCAGTCACACCGGCAGAAATAACCAAGCTTACAGCTGCAAGGTCACAGTGTGTGTGTCTGTGTGCATGTTATAAAGAGAGAATAAAATATGTCATGACAACAAAAGCTCACCGCAGCATGGGAATGCTACTCTCATGCTGGAGTTCCAAGGTGTCAGTTGTACACACATTTGTAAAATATATTTTTAATCCATCATCATTATACAGAGAATTTGAGAATCCAGAGATGGCGTTTGAGGTTATCTATACTGGAAGTGTCAAAGCTGCAAGTCATGAATGTTCACAATCTGCTGACCAATCAGCTGTAAGCTTGAGGAACAATATGCAGCTCTTACCTGTGTGCCAGACGTACTGCACCCACACATATGTGCTGGCTGCAAAGAACAGCCACTGCACTGGGATGAACAGCAGACATATAATATCTGATGTGAATGCCACACACACAAAAAACACTGAGAAAGCCTGCAACACACAGAGAGACACATCAGATCACCACGTGCAAATGGCATGACTGTCATTTCACGCTCCTCAGTGAAATATAACTTCAGCGTCCTGCTGTGAAGCATCATATAAAACAACCCTAAACAGCATTTTTTTAACTATCATGCAGTTTTCATGATTATTTAAGAGACATAATAGGAACAGTTCATATAATGTGCAAATAATACTTCAATACTACTGACAACTGACCTTCTGACCATGAAGAAATCTCTTAATCTCAGATAAGACTAGATAAGAGTATAAACTGCAGTTTATGTCCCTCACAGGATTATTGATAACATCAAACCCGGAAAGATATGCATAAATTCATCATACAGTATAAGAGCTAAGACATTTTAATGCTTTTGTAAGAAGCCTCTTATGCTTGCCAAGGCTGCATTTATTTGATAGAAAATATAGTAAAAAAATTGTAATATTATGAAATATTATTACAATTCAAAATAACTGTTTAAAATTTAATTTATTCCTGTGATGGCAAAGCTGAACTTCCATCAGACATTACATTAGGCATTTACAATATATAATATATACAAATATATATATATAATACAAAAAGGTAATGTGATTAAAATATATGTGTAGCAGCTCATTTTCAGAATCAGTGAATCTGAAAATTACGATTCTGGCTTCTAGCGGGTTTATTTTTCGTCTGCTTTGGAGCTTATAAGAAGTATAAATCACCATGCAATTTTGTTGTATGGAAAGCAGAAGCTCAGACATTTTGATAAACATTTGATTTTTTGTTGGGATGACATGAACGTGAGCAATCGATTTCTTTAATTATTTAGTACCATTATCTGGATGAAAAGCTCGTCTCACACACACACACACACACACTCCATCAGACATTACACATTAGGCATTTACAATATAATATATACAAATATATATATATAATATAAAAAGGTAATGTGATTAAAATATATGTGTAGCAGCTCATTTTCAGAATCAGTGAATCTGAAAATTACGATTCTGGCTTCTAGCGGGTTTATTTTTCGTCTGCTTTGGAGCTTATAAGAAGTATAAATCACCATGCAATTTTGTTGTATGGAAAGCAGAAGCTCAGACATTTTGATAAACATTTGATTTTTTGTTGGGATGACATGAACGTGAGCAATCGATTTCTTTAATTATTTAGTACCATTATCTGGATGAAAAGCTCGTCTCACACACACACACACACACACACTCACCAGGCCCTGGTATCTGAAGGAGTCGTAAACACTGCGAATGAAGAGCCAGAAAGGCCAGAGGTACTCAAAGCGAAACTCCAGCACAAAGTCTGCCAGCAGCACCAGAGCCCAGACCACCAGAAACTTCAGGTACAGGAACGTACTGAGACAAAGAGAAAGAGATGTTATTCTTACCCAACCATTCAATCATCCATTCAAGATTTCATCTCTCTGAATAAGATCCCACATGTGGCCTTGAGCCAATGAACATTTAGTGACACGAACAAGCAACTCCATCATGATCTCCAGCATTAAATCCAAACCAATGAAGCATGGGTAGGACGTAATCACTGTTTGGCTTTCTCCAATGCAGTGTGTAGTGAATGAAGTGGATTATGTTTTCTGTAGGGATGAGAAGAGGCCAAGAGTACATGAGTAAGATGTATTTCCAGATGTAGCAATGCAGATAAGGTGTACTCAATCCACCAGATAACAGAAATATTCTTTAATTAGACTATAATTACGCCTAGGTGAGATATTGAATATTTTCCATATATTATGCTGTCAATGTGAAATTAAGCAACATTGTGAATATCATGATTTTAATGAGTTTTAAAGCAGTCACTGGACCGGTAGGTCTGGGCTGATGACGTACTTGCTCAATTCCACCTCACTGAGGAAAGCAACATAACAAATCAGATAACAGGTGTTACAGATGCATCTTCACAGATTATATCATCAAAGTTGACAGTAAATGGATGGATGCATCTAAAACAAAAACTCCATATGCAACACATATTACACATGAAAAAAGAGGTTAAAATACTCTGATGAAAGATTTGAGGAATGTTTCTTTTGGAACAAAAGCAAAACCATGTCAATAGAATCATATCTGATTTTATTCTGATTTTAAATAAAGCACCAAATGATCTTCACATAAACATTTGCTTCATATTTTAGTATCACAGAGTGATACTAACCAAATCTATTACTTAAGACCTCTAAATGAAATCTGGTTTTACAGATTGGTGTAAAAAATTATTCCAAATGAAACCCCACAGAGTTATTTCCTAGATGCAGACTTGAAATCACATGCAACATTATGTCAACATCTGACATGACTGAATGTAAGCTCTATAGCCACTACATTAAAGAGTCAAACATGCTGAACATCAAGGAGAATAGCAAATGACTGATAATGGGTGAAGTCTGGCAACCCTCTTTAATGGCAGAAACAAGTTGCCAGTTATTTACCCACTGTGAGTAAATCATAGTGTTTAACTGCGTCATCCATCTACGATGATAATAACACTTTTACAGCAGAATTACTAACAAATGCAAGCAGTGGTGTGCAAAATATAGAATATTCATCATGATATATCTGCAATTATTTGCCAGGAATTTGCATTAAGGTGAGCATATAGTTTCTAAGTTCGATTCATTTGTGTTAATCAGTTCAATCTGTCAATGAATCAATGAAAAACTCAATTCAACAATTTCTTGCAAGTATAAAAATGCTATGTTAAATGTAGGTAAATATTGCTGTTTATTAATGCATTTTTGTGTACTGTACATAGTGCATTATATCAAATATAATTATTATTTGTGTTTGTTTACACAAGGCATTATTTATTTAGTTATTTATAATTATGTCCTTGTTTGGAAATCATATTTTGATTATTTCTATCAAGCTTGTTACTGTATTTTACTGCTGGAAGTGGCATTATGAATTAGCTTGGCCTTAATGACTGCTCGGTTGAAATTATGATTTCTCTGACTGAAGAAAATCCCTATTTTTGACCATTTCAGTGAAAATATTCACAACATAATTACCTATAAATTGTTACCATCTATAGGCATCTTTATACAGCTGATTTAAGGCTGCTCTGTGCCAGCTTAAAATTCTGTGCAAAGACATAATGCAGCATTAAATCCTGACTAAACTGTGTATCAAAGTATATGGTGGTTATTGTTGTGTAAATGCATTTATGCCATTTCTGAGTAGCATTAAACAGTCTGTGTAAAGACACCTAAAAGCCACTTCAGAAGCACCTCTGTGCCACCTTTGCAGTGTAAATTTGGTATAGCACACTTCATTGACATCTTGCTTTAAACATTTGAAATTAAGGCTGTATATGACCACCAGTAAACGTACTTTATACCAAACAATGAACGTACCCAAACACTGGCACACAGACAACAGGTCAGCAATATGACTGGCATCCCATGAATAGAGATTAATGCTATTATATGAGAGGTTATACCAACTGCTAAGATATAAAATATGCAATACTGCTGCATAAAACCCCTTCACAACATCACTTTTGATTGATGGGTTAGATGCTCCATGACAAAGCTTACAATACAAAACAAAAACACTGAGACTAAAAAAAAAACTACAGCTCTCAATGAAAGAATGAATTGTGCAAAAAAAAAAAAGATCCTATTCATGAAATATGTAGGTGTAATTAAGATTATTACCCTTACAAAAGAATCATCTTCTTTCTTCCGTGAAACACAAAAGGAGATGTTAGTCACTCAGAATGACAGTTTCAGTCATTTGCTTTCATTTTATGCAACAAAAAAAAAGCAACGAAAGTAAATGGTTACTGATGTTAGAATCTTTTGTGTTTCACATACAAAAAAGTCAGATGGGTTTAGAACAGCTTTTAACAATATTTCAAATAATTATAATTTTAACCTAAACATTATTCCTGGCAGCAAACAAACAAATAAATATTTACTAACATAGATACACTGTCAATTCTGGCACATATAAATGCTTCTTACACCAAATTTGTAGTAGTTCGTGAGTTCTCAAGGAAAACGTTAAAAAAAATACCCAACTGCCCTCTCGGTCTCCCCAACTTCTGAGGAAAAACACAACCAACTTTAGTTATTTGGCGTCTCGGGCATTTAAAACCCTAAAGCTGTCTCTTAGAAATTTGTATTTGAATAAACTTCACGCATTTACATATGCGATTTGCTAATTAAATTACGGTTATTCTCCTTACGGTCTTGTAAGATGCAATCACAATCGATCTGATCGGTTTCTGACAGACTAACGGTCCCGTCACGTCAATCATTCTGATGATTGACAGTTACCGACTCTAACCGTCGGGTCTCGAGCGCACACCGGTGGGTTTCGCGGGTTTCTTTCTTTTAAAGCGCATCGCTGTAATGAGGCCTACGGCAGCTTATTCATTTCTGCGGAGACGGCTGTCTACCTTCAGCCAGCTTTGTTGACGGTAGCTCAGCTCGGCTAGATGATTTACAGTCTCTCTGTGAGATCTTGGATCATAATAAAAACGAAATCTGGGTCTTTCCTAAAGCTCGGGAATGATAACGGTTCGTTCGGAAGGTCTGGGTCGTACCTGCCGTAGATCCCCTCGGTGATTCGGTTCCGTTTTAAGGGCCGTCGGAGCTTGCTGCAGTCCGCATTGCGCCGCTTCATCCTCGCCCCCTTAAATCGGGCTTTTTAATACGTACAGCAGTATGGTCCAGGGTTCTCTCTTATTCGGCGGTCCCACAAAGGAATATACCGCTGTGGTTGTTTTTTTTTTTCTCCTGGAAACAAAGAAATAAATAAAAAGACTGAGTGGAAGACCCTCCTCCTTCTCTCGGCGCAGACGCACAGACACGGGCCTAGACAGGTGTGACTGACAGGCCGCTAAGCCAATAGGAATCGCGCTTGTCGGTTGTCATTTTGAATGACAAGACAAACAGCCAATAAGCAGCGGTCTGTTTGGTCGCGGTACCAAAGAAAGGGAAATGGGGCGGCTGACAGGTTTTCTTCGCCCTACCAATCGCTGTCTTTGTGGACAAATCAGGTAGTGCTCCATGACCAATGGGATTGATTTGGGCGGGACTCACTATACGTTTTTTGCGTATGATGTATGAGAGATGCGTATTCCACATAAACGTAATTTTCGTTGGTATTTTGCGCGTTTCATTGCTAAGCACAAGTGTTTTTACATTGTGTGACTGTCAAACGCTACAATGGCATAAACAAGGCCCACCAAATAAGGTATAATGCATTATTAATTTAATATCAATAGCTTGATTAGTGATCATTTAATTGTACTATTAGCTAGTATAATTAAAAGTTAATGCCCCCCCACCCACACACACACACACCACACCACACATATTTTTAATATACCGGATAGAATGTTAAAATTGCCGTGAAACGGAAGTTGGGATAGTCTAACCATTTAATTAGCCTCATTTGATTTCAATTAAGTGAACAGAAATGAATTTAAAACAAGTTCACTACTTTAGTCTTAGGGGGGAAACAATATTAAATTCAAACGGTGCTGCAGGACAGGAATAACACAAACTAAAACCACAGTTAACACAATACGTCTTGCATCATTTTCTTTTGATAATGGACCTGTTATACAAATAAACTACATCCAAGATATATTACACAAAGGCCATATTGATTAAATGCACACTTAGGTGGCATTTTTGGGAAACACCTCCATGCCTCTTACATGCACGTGATCTTACATACTCCTCATCTCTGGCGGGTGTAGATTGCAGACATTCAGAGTTTGTCACGTAATAATGGCTCCTCAGTACGCCCCCAGTCTCCGCTCAAGACTTCCTCTCGTGGCCTTCCTGCTGGAAACCATCTTTCTCCTACTGTTTGTCATTTTTGTGAAAATAGAGCAGCATGAGCAGTTTGGCAGAGAGTCTGCCAGTAAGCTTTTCATCAGCTCATATGCAGGTTAGTAAATCTGATTTACTTTAAAGCTGTGTTATGAATTTTTAAGGGCTCAAACTTGCATTCCCTGTTAAACTTGTTGTTATTTATGAACAGCATCAAATCACATAATCTATTGTAAACCTGCTAGGTTCACTTCACATGTTGATATGAATAAATGCAACAGAAGACTGGCTGTCAATCGCATATTCTGCTAAGAAACTAATTCCTGGGCTTTATTAAGCAACTTTAACATATCAAACCACCCCATATAACAACAACAACAACAAAAATGATATTTTCAAATATATATTTTCAAATATGTTTTTTTTAAAGGCCAAAAATATATTTGCTAAATGTTTCATAATATATTTACGTAAATATATTTTCAACCAATATATAATTTTGTCAAAAAATATTTTGCCCTCCATGTTTTAATACAGTAAAATACACTCACATACATCACATTTGAAGAAGAACTTTTGTTTTGTATTAAGCATACTTTACAATGTTCCAAAAAAGCAAAAACAATTACAGTATTGCAATTTATGAAGTTATTAAATCATTCTAAATCTAGTTTTGATCTCTAGTAGGCTGTTCCTCCACATTTGCATTTAGCCTTAATGCCCTGAAATACATTTGGAAATATATTTTGGTGTACGTAGGTTGAAACTAAATATATTGTCCATTTCAAAAATATATATTATTGAGCTTAACTTTTTACAACATCTATAAAATATATATTTTGGCCAGAATTGATTTATTTATTTTGGATATGGATAAAGAATCATAACTCAAAATTCACATGAGGCTGCTGCATACCCAAAATGATTATGACTTTACCTTGGCCATGTTGCCGTTGGGGTGTGGAGCCACAACATCTCTGGTTTGGATGATAAGAAGCATTTCTCTACCACAACAAGCAGTATTAAAGACTGACCACCAAGTGCATTGCCAAATGTTTCAAGTTTTTAAATATGTTTTTATAAATGTACACATTGCCAATATTGGAAATGTAATTCTTTTTACAGAATTCCAAGATGTTCATGTGATGATATTCATGGGGTTTGGTTTCCTGGCCACGTTCCTTGTACGCTATGGTTTCAGTGGATCAGGGTTTAACGTGCTGTTGGCAGCCATGGCCATCCAGTGGGCCGTCTTGATAAATGGCTTCCTGCAACAACACCACATAAGAGAGATCCACATCAATATGAAGAGGTACATACATTACAGCTCTTAGCAGACATGCCTTAACATGCTGATGGCAAAACCAGAATAGACAATTTTCAGTGACAGATGGAAAACTATTAAAGGAATTGTTCACCCAAAAATGAAATACACTCACTCTCAGACCATCCAAGATGTAGATCAGTTTGTTTCTTCATCAGATTCGGAGAAATATAGCATTACATCACTTGCTCACCAATGGATTCTCTGCAGTGAATGGGTGCACTTCAGAAGACGTTAATTGATGGACTGGAGTGGTGTGGATTACTTGTGGATTATTGTGATGTTTTTATCAGCTGTTTGGACTCTCATTCTGACGGCACCCATTCACTGCAGAGGATCCACTGGTGAGCAAGTGATGGAATGATAAATGTCTCCAAATCTGTTCCGATGAAGAAAAAACTCATCTACATCTTGGATGGCCTGAGGGTGAATAAATTTTAAGCAATTTTTCATTTTTGGGTGAATTATTCTTTTTTAAAGAGGTTTTACAGCATCACATGATATCAAATGTTATTTGTGCTCCTCATGTAGTGTTATTGAGGCAGAGCTCTGTGCAGCATCCGCTCTGGTTGCCATGGGAGCGGTCCATGGGAAGGCAAATCCTGTCCAGCTTTTACTGATGGCTCTGGTTGAGGTCACAGGATTTGTGGTCACTCAGTGGATCCTGCGAGCTCTGTTCAATGTAAGAAGCATTACTTTCCCAGATAAGAATGATCATTTTTATCCTATGATCCTCATCTCAAATAAAAAGAATTTCAATGAAGAATGATTCATTCGGTTGAATGAATCATTTAAAGATTCAGCTATAAAGACAGTTATTTGTTTTGTTCCTAAATCAGTGGGTCCTGCAAACTCTGCTCTGTGTAAGACAACTATTAATTTCCAAAATATATAAATCAATTTTCAAAATTTCCCATATCCTCATCTCTAGGTACACTGCAAGCCAGTTTCAGCAGTTTTTTCCCCCATGCATTTTTCTGCTATATCTGGCTAATTCAGATGGTAGAAACATTTCCAGACAAACAGTTTTTTCAGTCTTTGATTTTTTTTTTACTGGAAAACACTAAAAATGAATTATTATAGTGTGATACTGTTTAAAGTATCAATGACAAAAATAGTTCAATTTAATATAATAATAATAATATTTGCATACATTTTGTATAAGTAAGCAGTATATACTTTTTAAATATCAGGAAACTTTCAAAGTCATGAAAATTAACGCTAAAAATGTTCTAATATTTCTATAGTTAACAGATGTTTTTCTGTTCTAGTCTAAAATACTTAATTTTCCAGTTGTAATATTTTATATAATTTTGTAATATGTAATTCTGAACAGTAAAACTATATTTGTGAGTTACTATCTGAATGAATACTTGCAAGACATTCCACTTAGCACTGCAAAAACCTAAATAAAAATTTGAATCAGACAGACTGTATTTTCATACTGTACTAAAGCAGAGCTGATGTATCAGGCAGATCCAGTGTACAGCATCATGCTGCTGCATGTCTTCGGAGCTCTGTTTGGTGTGATGGTGTCATGGGTGCTGCACAGAGAGGGGATCAAACCAGAACATGAGAAAGAGAAAACTGACCGCAAGACTGGCTTATTCGCAATGTTTGGTGAGTACATTAACTAGTTATCTCTCAACCTCAATTTTACCCCAAAAATACCTCAAACCAGGTCTTTCGTTTCAGACCATATCCATAACATATGGAAGCCCGTTTCCGCCACTGAATAAAAAATAAAAAAAGGTTATTGCGACTTTTTATCTCACAATTCTGACTTTTTTTCATACAATTGTGCGATATAAAGTCGCAATTGCGTGATATAAAGTCAGAATTGCGTGATATAAACTCACAATTCTGACTTTTTTCTCAGAATTGCGTGATATAAAGTCACAATTGCGAGTTCTAAAGTCAGAATTGTGAGATATAAAGTCACAATTGCGAGATAAAAACTCGCAATTCTGACTTTTTTTTTCTCACAATTCTGACTTTTTTCTCAGAATTGTGAGTTTATGTCTCGCAATTGCGAGTTTATGTTTATATCACGCAATTCTGACTTTATTTCTCAGAATTTTGACTTTATGTCTCGCAATTGCGAGTTTATATCACGCAGTTCTGAGAAAAAAAGTCAGAACTGCGAGTTTGTATCACGTAATTATGAGAAAACAAAAGTCAGAATTGTGAGATAAAAAGTCGCAATTACATTTTTGGCGGAAACGGGCTTCCATAATTACAGCATGTCAGATGATTTAGAAAAATTCAAGTGAGCTGTATAACCAGTTGTATATTTAATAGCACCTGCTTATTTCATACATTTAAAATATACAGCTTATTTACCTGATTTAAATAACTTAGATTATGCCATTTTAATTTTTTTAACAAAGCAAAAAGCACTGTGAATTTTATAGAGCAATGCCACATGAGCGAGAGTGTTATGAACGCAGATTATTTATGATGATTGAATTTATGTTTCATAGCCCCAACTGGATAAAACTTTACAATAACAGTACATGAGTAATCATGTACTAATAGGCCTACCTAATTTAAATATTACTTTAATATGAACTAATAAGCTCAACTAAACATAAATCATGTGAATTAAGGTGTGAAAACTTTACCCCAAAGTTTTAATTAATACATTAACTAACACACATGTAGTCAAAGTGGTTGTTATTCACACATGAATTCATGACTCATGATTCATGAATAATGACTCATGTCGTAG